CGGTCCCGGTCGGGACAGGGATCCCGCCATTCAGAAAACAACCAACAAAGTTTTACCTATGACTTGTTTGGTTTGGAAGACTTGTGTGGAATAAAAGAAAGCAAATGAGTAGCTAGAAAAATATGTACAAGAATCAGTGCCATCAGACTTCACTAAATGAATCTCGTTCTTCAAGCTAGGCATGGCATAAAGCAAAACCAAATAAAAACATGCATTTGATTAATACAGGGGAGCGAAAATTCTTCCATTCTAAAACCAAATTCCTACTCCCTGGCACAACATCTAACAACTGATCATTACTTGAGCACCTGAGTGAGAGAAAATAGAGGCAGTCACAGTCACAAAACCGCTAAAAAAACAAGAAGAAGAGATCGAGAAAGGAGAGGAAAAGAGAAGTCAGACGGAACAATAGCAACCACGAAAAACCTGAAACCCACTCCGATCTAAAGATTGAAATAGTCTAATAGCAAGAGACGAGTGCAAGAAGAATCAAAACGCAGAATAAGTCTCAGCATCGAAAATCTCTTACATAAATTTAATTATAAGACGTGAAGAACAGTGCCACATCTAAAAAAATCAACCAAAAAAATCAATGAAGGCATCGGATTTAGAGTTTTCAACAAAAGGCAAATCCAATTATAAGTATTCAAGAAAATAAAATTTGAGACTGGTCGTACCCTGTGATGTAGTAAATCCGTTTCGGTTTCTCTTCGTCGAAGCGAGGTTCTGCAATCCTTGGTCACTCCTGCGCCTGCGCGGGCTCGTGATCGTCAGTATTTTTCCAATGTGAAAACTTCATAAATAGTGGACAAGAAGTCAACAATCCCCATTGCAACCCAATGCTTAAAACCCAGCGGTTTGGTCCAATTACAACTAACTTACTCAAAAGTGGCCCAATAGAACAAGGAACGAGTCTTTTGTTGGAAGCCCTATTGTTGCTAACAATTTCTGTAATGTGTCTTGAGCCTAACAAAGAGGTTAATTGTTTGGATGAACCAAACCGTGGTTTGGAAAAGTGATTCTGGAGAATAGATCTGAGAAAATAGATTCTGTGAAGAATATATTTGTAAAAGTGATTCTGAGAAGTGAAAGTGTTTGGATAGTGTTATAGAAACACTATATACAAATTAATAAAAAAAAGACATAAGTTAATATGATAATTACATAAAAATAGATTTTATGATATATTTTAATTTGAAGGAATAAAATTGTTAAATAATATTTTTTTACCCATAATTAATAATACATAAGATAATATAATTAATAAATAATTATGTGTATATATATTTATAAAATATAAGATTAAATATATTTATAAAAAAATATGTTTATAAAAAAATAACAAGATACATATCATATAGGCCCTCACACTCTCCCTTTTTTCTCCAAAGCAAAAAAATTTTGCTTTTTCCAAACCATGGTTTTGATTTTTGGAGGGGATGTTTGGGTGGTTTATTCCCCAAACCATTGGGATGTCACCCAAATACATCCTTAGTGTCATATAGTGCGTATTTAATAAAATTGCTTCTATACTTGAAAAAAAAAAAATTTCTGTGCCCATGCCTAGTTTTGAGCGGTTTTATTTTATTTATTTATTTTTAACATTCTGGGTGGCGGGGAAGGAGGGCTCGAACAACGAAGCAGGGGGCGTGAATTCTTGTCAAATTTTACCTTCTGATACAAGCAATTTCATTTTTTCTTCTGCTCCGCCACTCGTGATTACTCTCATTTCCATTCCAGTGCTCCTCCTCCTTTCCCACATCAACGCAGCCAGCCTCCGTCGATCTCACCAGCTGCCACTGCCTCCGCTGTCGCCGCCTCCTTCTTCTCTCCTCTCACAAAGCTGTGGTCGCTATCTCATCTGCCGTCGAGCCCCCTTGGCCATAAACCTCCGCCGCTCAACCTCTCACTTAGAGACCAGATCTCTCCATTCGAATCGAGCTCAATGCCGTCTTACGCACACACTCATTCAGTCTCTCACTCCGTCTCAGTCACACTCACCCTCGAATCGACCTCGACTGCATAGCACGTCTCAGTCAGCATCTGTGCATTGCGTGAGCTCTAGTCCTCGGATTGATCTCTCCAGGTTCACCAACGAGCTGTGTTATCCTACCCTCTTGTTTTGGATGTATGTAAGTTCAGTTCGATGTTATTCTTGCTCTCTTGTTTTAGCTGTGCTTGAAATTGCAAATGATTATTCTGTTGAAGATGAAGCTTTTGTAATCGATTAACCTGTATTTTTGACTTGATGGTTCTATGTTCCCAATTTCCATGTCTCAGTGTGTTTTTCATATTCATGAATTCAAGCCTTCATCTATTCATCAATGTAAATGGGCTGCCGGTACCCGCTCAAACCCGCCCGGCTTTACCCCAGCGTGTTTAGTATGGGCTTAAACTGGTTATTTACGGGTATGGACTAGCCCGTGCCCGTGTAAAGTTGTAACTTAAATCTGGAAGTTGTAACTAATTATACTTTTCTCCACTGTTTTAATAATATATTGGGTACTTGAGATTATTAAAGTGTGTCCAAACACTCCAATGTGATAACTAGAAGATTATGTTTGAAGTTGAAATTTTTAGAACTTTGATTGAGGCTGCTATTGGTTCTGAAACAGTGTTTCAAGTTATTTAAATGCTGTAATAGAAAAGTTATTGAAAGTTATAGGAGTTTATGAGTCACTGTAGGTTCAATTTTGTTTGAGGGAAAATGGTTTTGAAATCTGAAATTAATTTCCAGATTATGGAAGGGTGTTTGTGCGTGATTTGGTGCTGATATGTACTGGGCATTGCTAGTTATTAGAATATGTTTTAAAGCACCAAAATAAATGCTGAAACAATGCTATCCAAGATGGAATAATTTTAGAAAGTTGGAATTTCCAGATTTAAAGCATGGGCCGTGTGAAGCTTATGTATGTTAAGTGTATGTTTTAAGTGCCAATAAATATAGATAGGAATATGGCTATGTGTGTGTGCCTGTGTGGTGATGATAGACCATAAGGTTGAATGGTTAAAGCAATAAGTATGTTGTTGTTTAATGTCATTTAGAGTTGATGAGTTAGTAAACTATATAACCTATGATTAGGGACACAAGTGAGGAATAAGTTAAGGTTATGAGGTTGGGAAATTTTCAGATTTGGAAGAGAAGTTAGATAATGGTTTTAAGTGTTTAAGCTATTCAAGAAAGTAGAAAAGAATTTAAAAATAAGAGATAAGATAAAGGGGGTAAAGCCAAGACTCAAGTTAATGGAAGGTTGCTTTTGATATGGGTTATGCATATGTAAATATAGATGTGTGTGTATGTGTGTGTTAGAGTGTGAGGATTAGAAAAGGGAAGACATTCTTCCAAATGTCTTCAAATATGATAATAAAAATTATGTTTTTTGCCCAAGATGAAGTCAAATATAATATAATGATAACTCAGGTGAATGTTAGAAGTGCATGGTGAGTTTGAAGATTTAATGTTTAAGGTGCTTGGAAAGTTGCTGTCCAAATTTTAAGAGAGTAATGATACATGAATTTGAGATGTGGATAGGGTTTTGAAGCTCAGTGAAGTTATTTTAGGGAGAGTTTTAATTGGTTACCATGTGTAGGTGTCTAAATTTTTAGGAGTTGTTAAGTTAGAATGAATGAAAGTGATTAAACGTATTAAAGGTGCTTGGAAATATATAAAAAAGGATCAAGAGTCAAACAAAAAGTTAAGAAATGGGATTTGAAGTTTTGTGATCATTAAGAGGGAAATACTTACTGTTTTAATGCTTAGGAATGGAAGTGATATTAAATGATGTTTAGGATTTAATAAATTATAGATACACACAAATTAAAAGAATTTTAATGGTTAGAAATTTAGGATTAAAGTGCTGTGATAATGATTCTCAAAGTTGGAAAATAATTTCCAGATTTGATATTAATGGCTAACAACAATTATTTTAAATATAGAATGATATTTAAAGTGCTATTGGCGTGGATAGTCAATGACAAGAATTCAATCTTAAAGCTTAATTCATGAAATTGGAATTTGATAAAGAAGGGGTGTGTGTGTGTACAAGCAGCAAGGCTGTAAGGGATAAGAAAAGGAAAGACATGGGTGTGTGTGTGTGTGTGTGTGTGTACAAGTAGCAAGGCTGTAAGGAATAAGAAAAGGAAAGACATTATGCGGGACCACTCTTTAGCTTCACATTTTGACCATTAACCTTTGCTCCTTGCACTGCCTGTGATTTTGTAATAGCATTAGTTTTTTAATTTTCAATGGCATGCTCTATCACGTTGTTTGCATGAGAAATTAAATCCGTCTGTTTGATCATTGCTTTTCTATTATTCTGTATTAACCAAACAATTATGTAATGTAAACGTTGAATTTCTTTGGGGTTGTTTCAGAATATCCTGGTATTGTTCCGTTCTAAAGTCTACCTATGATTAAAATACCAGATATGGATGTAGTTCGCAGCCAAGGGCACATCCTTTTGGCTTATTGGATGATACGAGTCCATATTTTATATTGGGACAGAGCTGCTTTTTATCATCACAACTTAATTGCAATCTTTTGGAATGTCCGGAATGTCCTGATTGCTGAATTGCAGGATTGGGATTTGGGTTGAAGAAGTACAGATAGCAGGCATGATCAATCTGGTTCTGAAAGATGCTTATTTTTTGGTCCAAAAAAAAAAAGATGCTTATTTCCTATTTTCTCACGCTAAGCAGTTTACTTGAATAACCACAAGGCCTAGCAATGGAACTTTGCTGATTTAATTATAATTTTTATGATTGGCAGCTTTTTAGTTGATAAGCATATGTAATATATTCCTATATATGGTGGAGTTAATATGGATTTGTCCATGTTGTAGGCGAGTTCTCAAGCAAAGTGAGATAGATAGATGATTCCTACTATTTGATCAGCACTAAGATTTTCTGCTAGTCGGCGCTGAGCGACGAAGAAGTAGTGGGATCTTAAGAGGAACATTATAGATCTATGATTATTTCCTCATTAAAAAACTTAAATTGTTGCTATTGTTCCCGTACTAAACTCAAAACCTGAGAAGAAGCTCAGTGGCCTCGTTCATGGCTTCGGAAATTGATTCAACTCCAACTCCATCCAACATCTCATCTGCTTTCCTGCCCACGGTTATCCACTCATTTCCCGTCTTACCGTGCCATTTCCATCGCATTATGCTTCCTTCTCCACTATCTTCAGTTTCTGATTCTTTTTTTCCCCCCATTTTTCTTGAAGGTTTGCTTGCACAATTGGTGGTTGGTTAGAGCTGAAACGGACTTCCATGGGAGGCTATTAGCTGTTGCAGGCTACCCCTCCAGAAAGTAAGACCCCATTTCATTTTTGGGGATTTCAGGTCCACCTACATTTGATGCCTTTTTTTGCACTAGGCTTTGTCATTACTTCCTTTTACTTGCATTGTGGTCATGGAAACATAAATCAAAGTTATGTGAGGCTAAGTTGACATAAAAATAATAATGTTTCTGACATAGGTTGACTTTAGCAGGCAAGATGCAAAGCGGGTGTTTGTTTCTGCTCCAATAATCAAAAGACATGATTTATCTACCTTAGAGACAGCAGATGGAATTTATCTTATTATTATAGGTTTCATTAATGAGCTGCAAACTAAGGAGAACGGCTTCCCATGTGAGGTTTGTAAAATTCAAAATTTGCTCTTACCTGATAAATACTTTTTACAACATCCCACTGCTTCATAGCATAGTTGCCAGTGCATTGCAGAGTGTTAATCTTAATCGACAGTCATATTTTTCATAAACCATAAAAAATGATTACATTAGTGACAATATGGATATGTTAAAAAAAGAGAGCTGCGTGAATAAGCCTTGGTCTGGAGTACTCCAGCGTTTTACTTGATTTAACAAAGTGAATCCTGTGTTTCTTCAATCCTTAATTTTTATATGTTTCTATCCAATGTTAATGATGTGGGTACACCCTTGTTTGTTTATTATAAGCTTGAGAATGTGAGCTGATAGGGCCACAGAGCCTTTTCTAGGGCAATCTATAACATATTTTGGCGTTCCTTGTGGCAAGCGAAGATTATATATCTTGAAATTTTCTTATTTGCAAATTTAATACTATGAGGGCTATGTATTTATGTTGTTACCATATGCTCTCTGGCCAGGTTTTCAATCATTTTATATTTGGCTTTCCTCCTGACTGGGAGGGCTGTGTTGTTAACTTCTTCAAAGAAGTTGCTACTGGCATTGATTCAGGAAATATCATTACTTCTAATGAAGAGGAACCAACAAGCCCAGTTACACCCATTCACTCACAGGGGGAAATAGATGAGTTGTCAGAACATTCTGTTGGAGGATCTGCATCTAGAAAATCTAGAACTCGGTTGAGAAATACTGAAAATCAATGTAGCGCAAGAAAAGTTGTCCTGGGCCACGCTAGGCCAAAGATGACCATGTCCAACAGAAAAATGAATCGGTCTAAATCAGCTGATCCTAAAAGAAAAATGAAGCCTCTTTCAGCTGACACCACTAGGGGAAGCCTATCTGTAAAGAGGAGTAAAAAGAGAATTAACTTTGATTCACATGTAAGTAGTAGTGTCTTATGTAAACACACGTTTATTTGTGACTGTAGTGTGTATTTTTTGTGTTGCTATGTCTATTTTTTGTCAATTGTATTGGCTTATGACTATCATCCAGCTCGAATGGCTTTATTTGTGATACATCTATTGATTAAAGGGTGCTTCCATGTGTTTGGTTTTTGAAGGAGAAATCATCTGCAGTTTCTCCAGATTTATCCAATTTTAGGAGATCCAGGTCAGGTGAGTATTACCTGTACTCTTTCTTTTTGTATTACCTCATCACTGGGGATGGGTGACGGCATTTTAATTTTCCTGTCAATTTTGGCCTGTATTATTAGTCTATGTGCTTGGGCTTGGCCTGGTGCCCCGTTTATGGAAGATGAAGAATTTCTCAAATACCAAATTGATGGATAAACGAGTACCAGTTTTAGATTATTTTTCTGTTAATGTCAATCGCTTTGTGTGTTGCAGGTAGGCGGCTGCTTCCTCCTCTGGAGTTCTGGCGCAATCAAATGCCTGTTTATGATGCGGTATGTGATTATTTACGTGATTATGCAAACTTTTGCTCAGCTTTTGTCCGTGATCATCTTGCATGGCTTGCATATATCATGCACGTTGAATGTGTCTGATTTTTGTTCATCCCATGATTTGATCATCTCTTAGTTGATCATGGTTCATTTTTAATATCATTCTTATTAATTCCTTTAAATTGTGTCTGATTGTTTCCACCACTGCATTCCAACTGTCGAAATTTTACTTAAATGCCTATGTCGGGTGTGGTTGACGTTATTTTTTTATTGTTATGTATTTCAGGACCACAGCCTAACTGAAATCCTGGATGGAGCACAATCCCAGAAAAAGCAAAGGAAGTAATGTGTTGAATGGTGCAGACTATGAAGGTAATTCTTTAACATATGATGCATAACGGCGCAAATCTGCCCGAGGTTAACAAATATTTTGATTTCTGGTTCTTGGAAAAAAGAAAACTCATTATGTATTTAAACTAATAGACGGTATTTCAATGGGAAAAAGACTAAAATCGAACTATTATACGTACTTTGGAAATATGAAATATTTATCTGCTTGTAACAAAACTCTTGAGGTATATATGTTGGTCTTAAATTCTTTAGTGATACAAGAGTACTCATCTAAAGGTATAGCGCCTCATGGTGTTTAGGGCGATTGAAGCGTGCATTGGATGGCTTTCGCCCCCTCCATTATGAAGAATGTCCAAGTGTCGGTGTGGCTGAACAGGATCAGATGTAAAATAGTCGACTCATTATTGTTCCTGTGGCTGTGGTGTAGGTTATGTATCTAGTATTTCGATATTTTGTTTTCATGTGACACTAATTCTGTGAATATGACCTGTATTTATTAGCGATCAACTAGTTCATGCAGTTGTCGAAGCTACTCAACTAAAGAGGGCTCTTCAAGGCAGTTTTCTTATATAAAACGCTCTGAGTTCTGAATTGCAACTACGTTGATAACTCTCGAATATTTACAATGAGAAGCTTATCGATAGGTGAATGTTGCCCCCAAGTTTAATAGTCGTGTCAATTTATCCACTCTGCTTTTAGAATCCGTTTTCCCCCCCCCCCCCTTTTTATTTGGCTTCACTCTGCTTTTAGAATATGAGACTGCGCATAAACTCATCATCTTATAATCTAATACTCCTCCGGTCCTTATTATAAGACCCTATTTGACTTTTTATTTGGTTCTAATTATAAGATCCCAATCCATTTTGTCTCTTATATTTATGCATTTTTTTTCAAGATAATCATTCTAATAATGATAGTTTTAGCCAATATACTTAATTAGCAAGGATACTTTAGGAATGACAACACTTATTTATTATAAATAACCAACTTAACTTACTTTCTTAATCTCCTCAAATAAGTCAATTGGGTCTTATAATTAAGACCGGAGGAGTAATTATTTAATACCCACGCTAAGCTCCATGGGCTAAAATTCCTTTTCAAATTTTAGTGAAAAATACTACATTGGTCTTTTTGATATAAGAACTATTTTAAGAATTTGATTTTATTTTAAATATAAAATTTTAATCTACATTTGTCTTTTAATGTTTATAATTTTTTTACAAACTCCTATTAGCTTAGGTTACATGTGTAATGGATTTGGCAATTGAGTGTAATGCAATATTAATTTTTTCTTCTTACTATCGTAGTCTAATTATACATGTGTGGCACATCATCAATTTTGCCTCATTTATATAAGACAGATAAAGAAGAATTTTTTAACTTAATTATAAGGCATGCTATTATTTTTTTTTATTATGATGAAATATATTAGAATTAGAATTAAAATTAGAAGTAAATTTTGATAGGAGGCGATTGTATAGGATGTCGCTTTTATTTTTATAAGAAGCATTTCCAAATATTGCCACGTCACTGATCCGTAGTGACCCGTAAAGTGCAACCATACGATTTAGTTTAGTCGACGGCCCTTAGAGTCCACAACACATCACGCGGATTCCTATTCTTAGCCATCGATGAATATCTAATCCAACGGTCGAAAACAGTCATTTCCGTTTCGGGGACCAAAAAGCACAAACCCTACCGAACAAAACTTCTCTATATAAACCTAGGTGCTCCGCTGGCGGTTCACGGAATATCGAAGACCGAGTCCTCTCAGTGCATCGCTCTCGGGATTTCTGTCACTTCCTCGTTGAAAATGTCGGGCCGTGGAAAGGGAGGCAAGGGTTTGGGGAAGGGAGGAGCCAAGAGGCACAGGAAGGTGCTTCGCGATAACATTCAGGGTATTACCAAGCCTGCAATTCGCCGATTGGCTCGTAGAGGTGGAGTTAAGCGTATTAGCGGTCTCATCTATGAGGAGACTCGCGGTGTACTGAAGATTTTCCTTGAGAACGTTATTCGCGATGCGGTGACCTATACCGAGCATGCTAGGAGGAAGACGGTGACCGCCATGGATGTTGTTTACGCGCTGAAGAGGCAGGGTAGGACATTGTACGGTTTCGGTGGTTGATTTCAGTATCGAAGTCGAAGGTTCTTCTTAGGGTTTTTTGTTTAGGGATTGTGTTTGTAAATGTTAAGTTCAATTAGATGTTATTTTCAGCCTTGTAGTTCTCGCAACATCTTGAAATGTATCCTTGGATCCGGTTTTAATGTGATGTTTGGTAGTTTCTCCTATATCAAATCAAATCTTGTCCATTCTTTTTCTTTTATTGTTCAGCTCTGATGGAACTTTCACCGTTACCAATTTTTGACCGGGTATAAAATCTATGGACCCAAATTATAGCGTTGGAGGCGATTTTACTGTTATCCCGGTAATTGTATCGGATTCATAGATAAAATACGTTTAAATGCGGCTGCTTTACTTCATGTAAATGGTACCCGTCATTCACCTCAACTTTGTTGCGATCGATGAACAAAGTATCGCGGAATTGATTGTTATACACGCATTTCATCTGGGGATAGTAGACTTTAAAACTTAAAAGAACTTGAGCCCTTTGCTGGCGGTTAATCATCTGATGTCCGAATGTTGTGGGTTGGGTCGGCCCGATGCTGATCTTGTTGGACTTAATGTCCAACCCAATACTACTGTAACATTAATAGCCTTTTATTATCGGTCAATAATGTCTTGTTTGGCCCACTCAAATGTGGTGAGAGGTTTTTAGTTTGGGAGTTGAGTTTAATTTACTAATCAGATGCATGTCTAAAGCTATCCAATTGAAAATTGGAGGAGAAAAACCTGTTCTCTTGCCTCGAGTCCTGCGGCAATGAAAGGATACGGATCGGTGAGGGAAGACGGTTTTACTTGCGCCGACATTAGCAAGAACGAAGATCGAAATCACTTTTTAAGGGTGTAGCTGCATTAAATATACCCCTCGTCAGTTTAAATAGGAGGATTATTGACCAATGATTAACTTGTGAATTATGATTTGTTCCTACATTTTAATAAAAAAATGCAAAATTGACCATCAAATTTTCCGTTATCTTTGGCCAATTTAATTATCATTAATTTCATTGGTATGTTCACAATTCTTGCACTTTCTTTCGTGTCTCTTCGTTGGGCGGTAAGAATCTTATATCAGATGATTCTGGATATATCTGTGTAGATGAACGAGACCACGAGGGTGTCGTGGTGTAGTTGGTTATCACGTCAGTCTAACACACTGAAGGTCTCCGGTTCGAGTCCGGGCGACGCCACCTTTTGTTTTATTTATTTATTCTTTTCCTACCTCTTATTTTGTTTCCATTTGTTTAGAGTCTTTTGGGCTTACTGCTATATGTACACATAAATATAGTAAAACAAGGAATAGCTGGATTGAGGGTAAGTTGGGTAACTCTGCAGTTGATGTATAATTACTTGGTTTCATCGTTTGGAAATTGCACAGATGATGATTTTTGTTTATCTAGCTAGCCCTCAAGGCTCCAAGTTTTCGTTGTCAAAGCTAATATGCCTTTTAAAGCAAAGGCCCCTTTCAATTATATATATATATATATATATATCACTTTTGGTTCCTTAATTATTATTTTTTCGTTTAATTTTAATCATATGCACTTCTCATGCATCAGCTGGAAAATGAAATCACATTTTATGGTCAACTTCCTTCATTTTGTGCCAGTTGCGGCCCCATTTTGGGTTCATGCACTTCAAACCTCTCATTTCTAAGTGGGGCAAGCTAAATCGATCCCACACGCACACAACACACAAAGCTTGCCTATCTATACCTTATTAAGTATAATCAGCATTGGCAATTAACTTCAGCCTCTTCTTCGCCAATGAAAGAGGAAGAAACGTCAAGAGAGAGACGATTGTTTTGTTGCTTTGCGCTTAAAAGTTAACTGTTCAAGTTTCAACGAAAGCTACAGCCACAAGGATTTGCACAAAAATAGTGAAAGTAGCAAACAGAGCATCTGCTGAATTAATCATATAACGCGGATCAGTAGTTGATAGCTTATATATATCCACTGTGCGCGAACTTCGGAAATAATTGACTTCCACAAATATTACATCCATACCATTTTGGGATTTGCCAACCACTCCCCCTCGTCCTCAATCCTTCCCTTTCAAATTCATCAGACTACATATGGATATTCCCAGACATCATAAGTGAGTCCTACTGTTTGATCTTGCACTATCTAATTCGTGGTCATGAAAATCTCTTTTCTTGTTGCTATTAATAATTATTCTTATATATGTGCTGTCAGAGAAATTAACAGTGGATGAAGCAAGAAGCAACAAGTGATTGGTGTGAATGATCTCAACTTAACTTTCTGGGCTGAAACAAACCCTTCTTTTGTTTGGTTGTCCAGAGTATCCTTTCACCTGAATGGTAAGAGACTAATCTCTTGGAATACTGTCAGATGCCGTTGCGGGGACCTCTCCCAACGATTTTTTTGCCATACATACTGTCCTAAGAATCGAACCCAGAACATGATATTTAAGATGTCCAAGTCCCTTCTACTTGGACTAAAACTTGTTTCATGAGAGCACCTTTTGAAGATGAATGAATGTCCATAATTTGAAAATGAAAATTCATGAGAGCACCATGCCTGGTTGAGGCTAGATGATGCTTCCGAGACCCAACGAGTTGCTCTCTGTGTATCCCAACAATTCACAAGTGCTCCCACTATTATCTTTGAGAAAAGGGCATTCACAGACACCAACCGCGCACAATGGGCCTCCCCTTTGACCTTCTTTTCACGTTATGTAATTATAATCTTAATTCCATAATCACTAAGCATTCATTTGGGGGGCAGGCAAGCGCACATGCACATGTATGCATGTGTTGAAAAAATTATTGGATATAATCTTATTCTAATAGGATTAAAAAGGAAAGGTTTCAAGTTCTGATAGAGATGAGGCGAAAGTGATGTCGAAGATGAAGGGGCGAAAAGAGAGAGAATTTGGAGCTAAAAGCTTGTGGTAATTCAGGGGAGAGGAATATTAATAGAGATCAATCTTGTTTAGGGGATCGCTTTTTGCTGGCATCTTTGTGACGTGCATGGTGATCGATTCTTGATTTGAGGACCATAGAAATTAGACTAAGAGCATCTGCTTGTGATTTTCCTGTACAATGGACTTATGGAATCAGGGTTAAAGCAAGACCAATCATATATGGGAGTTTCCATCTTAAAAGGAGAAAGATGTGAGCTTTAATACTAGCCTTTTAGACTCGAATTGCTGATCAACCGAAGAAAGGAGGATCCTTGAATGATGGTGTAGTACAATAAGTCCATCTCATAATTATTTATTGCCTATGAAATTTTATCATGGAACCTTACTTTAATTTGATGCGTGCGATGAGACCCTCTGGTCAGAAGAACAAAGGATAAAGGGCTCCAATTTAAGTATCAAAGCATTATAATTTGACACGTACGTTTCTCCTCCGAACCAAAACTACTGTTTATCATCTGTGAGGAGTGTGTCTTGTTTAATGATTCCAATCATTTCATGCAACACATACGGTCCAATATTATCCAAGAATTCAAACAAAGTTATATTTGTGATGATAATTCCACGTGATTTTATATTTGTTGTCAACTTTCCTTTTCAAGAAATATTTGCAAATTAAATCCCTGTTTATTAGAGAAAATCGAGTTCACTTACAAATAGGTAAATTAATTGTCTTAAGTAGCTTTTATAATTGTCAAATAATGTTATTACAGCATCAGATAAAAATATTAACAGAGAAGTAGTGAAGGGAGAAGAGTTATTACGTTGCTATAGGACGCAGATCCATGAAGGAAGTGAAGTATTATTCAAACTCAAGGAACGAGTAAAACTCACAGATTATAGTTGTTCTACGCACACATATGACAAGTTAATACTCATAAATTAAAAAATGTGCCCTTGATTTGCTTTTCTTGGGGCTTTGAACAATATCAGAATCTACGAAATCGAACTCATACGTTAATCTGTCTTTGAGGAAATCCACTTTTTTGGTTAATCTACCGCTTATGATCTCATTTCTGTCATACTGAAGAAATCAAAGCTAGTAAATGTTGCCCAGCACATATTATTATTGTTATTGTTGTTGTTATTATTATTAGATATGTTTATCTATAGTGTATCTATTTCTTAGAAGAGCATTGTTGTTGATTTTTTTTTTTAACCAGGGGCATTGTTGTTGATAAACAATGCAACTTTTATCTACCATATACTATTTATAAGCCACAAGAATAATGCAGTTTTGCATTGATTGGGCTGTGTGCCATTTTTTATTTATTAATAGCATTTCTACTTTTTATCTCTTTTCTCTAATTCTTTTACTGTTTGAATGTTTAATTTTCAACCTAAATCTATTAATATATTATTTATCTTGCATGGAAAGGATAAAAAATTATTCGTATAAAAGCTAACTATTTTTTAAAGGAAAAATATTTGAGGACATGAATTCGCCCTCCAAATTCCATGGCACAAAGGAACTCATATATATTATTCTTTTTTATTAATGTAAGAACTAATTGACTAATTTGAATATGTTAAAAAATTTGTTAAGTTAGTTATTTGTAATAAATATGTGTTAACTTTTTTAGAATACCCTTATTAATCATATGTATTGGTTATAACTACTATTTGATGAAAAATTTAACATATGCAACTATTACAATGATTACTTTAAAAAAATAGATAAATGCTAGAAATAACATATATTAAAATATTATATTTAGAACTAAATTAAATGTAAAACTAACTAATTCTTATATTAGTAACCTTATGCAGTATATATATAGGATTAAAGCGTATTCAATACCCTAAAATATTTTATAGTAACACATAATGTGCTAAACTAATTTTTGATGCAATTAGCACACTTAAAATATTTTTTCAGTGGCATACGATATTCTCAAGTAATTTTTTTGGTAAAATTTTACCCTTAAAATAGTTTTCTTATTAGCAATAAGTACTATAAACTTAGGATCTTTAGTACTACTGCAGAAAAAACACTCTAAAGTGTTGAATACACTAAAAGTAAGTTTAGGATACCACGGCCATTGCAAAATGGTTTAAGGATTGGATATTACATGTATAAACCATCTTTTTATATGCATTAAATTAATTAATTGAAGTGGCCGCCTAATTAATTAATAAGACTTTCCTTCATTATTTAAAAAAAAAAAAGAATAAAGAAAAACTCCGTACTTTTGGTCCCTCATTTTATTGCCACGATAACAAAGACAAGCATCTCTTTTTCTTCCACTAGACACGGACGCCAATGTGACTACTATTTTAATTATTTATATTAAATGAAATCGAATACAAAAATTATTAAATTAATAATAGAGAGAATTGCAGAAAAGTCCTAATAAAGTTTAAATATTTTTTATGTCTCATTTGCATATTAAACTTCAGGAGGTAGAAGTTATGGATAATTATCACTCTGTTTTCTTTAACACACATCTTTAATTTCCCTTCTCAATATCATTCTCAATTCCTCGTGGATCGCCAGGTTCCTCGCACAGCTGTGGATGCTTTGGTTATCCGCGGAAATTACACTTTGGCCATTCCCTTCACACACGCGCGTTGTAATAATATTTCTCCTATTCCTAATATATTCTACCTTCTATTTAGAAGTTACTTAACTTTTCTCATAAATCAAAAAATAAAAGTTTAGTCGTTAAGTATCACCTCTAGTTCTAATTATCAAATCTCATTTGTAAACTACAAATGAGATCTCATAATTAGAACTGAAAGTAATGTATTTTAAAATGATAAGTTTTTTTTTTATTTTACCCTTAAAAAATGATTCTCATCTCTCTTTTACATTCAATAGGGATGAACTGGACCATAATTTTTTTTTTCCAAACCAACATCTTATATTATGAATGGGATAGAGTATAAGGGCTACATCAAATTTAAATTAATCAATCAATAATTGGCATGCATTTGCGTGTAAAATGTGCGCGCATATATGGGGAGACGCACCATATACGCTCCTTAATTGGAAGTTTGGAACTTAAAGTGCCCAATACAATCGCCCAAGTAAATATATAGTATTATTTCCGGTTTTTTTAATATAAGACCTTATTTAATTTTTATTTTAATTATAAATATAAGATTTTAGTCCACTTTATTTATCATATTTATGTATGTTTTTCTTAAAGTAATCCTTCTAATGATAGTAGTTATAGTCAATACACTTGATTAGTGTGGATATATTAAAAAAAACAACACCTATTTATTACAAATAATTAATTTAAATTATTTTTTAATCTATTTAAATTAGTTAATTAATGAGCTCTTATATTTAGGAAAGGGGATAGTATATATATGCTTATTAAACACGGAGCCAAACCTCCTTTGATATATTATGTTTGGCATGATTTGGGATAAAAGCATTATTATTTTGGGGTTCTCACCTAGAAAAATTGGTCATGAACTGATGGATTAGCATACAGACAAGATAGGAATAAGAACATGTGCTTCCATTCACGACGGCCTAAAACTTAAATAGCCTCGTGTTAACTTTATTGCTCCCAATTCTCAATTCTTAATAAAAGTTACATAATTAATTTGCCAAAAAATCCCTATACAACATTATATTACGTATCAGTTAAAAAATAAATAAATTAGTTTGGAAAAAATAAATATGAAAAAGAGAGAGAGGGATTAGAATGTGGAATCTAACGAGGACAACGTATCTTATCCGGGAAAAAAAAAAAAAAGCTAGGACACTGTATAAAACATCATATATCAATCAGGACATTGGTTCATAATTAAGTAATCATAATGCACTGTCAAACTGTGGTCAAAATGGTTCCGACGATTGATTCAATATGTTTTTAATCAGGAGTTAAAATTAAAATTCCAAATAAAAGAGATGAAAAATATTTTTTAAAAAAAGTGTATTTCAAACAAAAAAGCAACCTTTTGTGGCATTGTCTTCTATAAATAGGAACGATTCCGCAGAAGTGGTTTAGCATTCCACCCCGCACCACCTTTGTTCAGCTTCTTGGCAAACATCATGGTTTTCAACATCACCTCCATCAAAACCTCCTCCGATGGAGCTTGGCAGGGCGATAACCCCCTCGACTACGCCTTCCCTCTCCTCATCGTTCAAACCTTCCTCATCCTCCTCGTCAGCCGTTCCCTCGCTTTCCTTCTCAAACCTCTTCGCCAACCCAAAGTCATCGCTGAGATTGTCGTACGTTCATTATTTTCCATTATCATCATTATCTCTATCTTCTTTACTATTAATAATGGTCAATGCTTGTGTTTCTTTACACCTTACAGGGTGGGATTCTGCTTGGCCCATCGGCTTTCGGAAGGAGCCAAGCTTACATGCACCGTATATTCCCATCTTGGAGCACTCCCATACTCGAATCCGTCGCTAGCATAGGTCTTCTCTTCTTCCTCTTCCTCGTCGGTCTCGAACTCGACTTAACCTCCATTCGCCGGAGTGGTCGCCGAGCCTTTGCCATAGCCGCCTCTGGCATCTCTGTTCCTTTCATTTTGGGCATCGGCGTCGCCATGTTGCTTCGAAAAACCGTCGACGGAGTGGACAAGGTTGGTTTCGGTCAGTTTGTGGTCTTCATGGGCGTCGCACTCTCCATCACGGCATTCCCTGTGCTCGCTCGTATCTTAGCCGAGCTCAAACTCTTAACTACCCAGGTGGGAGAGATCGCCATGGCCGCAGCCGCATTCAACGACGTCGCAGCGTGGATCCTACTGGCTCTGGCAGTAGCTATAGCCGGCGACGGCGACGGGGGGCATCATAAGAGCCCCTTAGTGTCAGTGTGGGTTCTTCTTTCAGGGGTTGCTTTCGTAATTTTCATGATGGTCGCGATCCGACCCGCGATGAAATGGGTGGCCCGGAGATGCTCGTCGGAGCATGAAGCAGTTGACGAGGCGTACATCTGCCTGACCTTAGCCGGAGTGATGGTGTCGGGTTTCATGACCGACTTTATAGGGATCCATTCGATATTCGGAGCATTCGTGTTCGGGTTAACAATTCCGAAAGGAGGAGATTTCGCCGAGAGACTAATAGAGAGGATCGAGGATTTCGTGTCGGGTCTGCTTCTCCCGCTATATTTTGCATCGAGCGGGTTGAAGACGGACGTGGCGAAAATCAGAGGCGGTGAGGCCTGGGGGCTACTGGCCCTGGTCATAACCACTGCCTGCGCCGGCAAGATACTGGGGACATTGGCGGTGGCGATGATGTGTTTGATTCCGGCGAGGGAATCCTTAACGCTGGGCGTCCTCATGAACACCAAAGGCCTGGTGGAGCTTATCGTGCTCAACATTGGCAAGGAGAAAAAGGTCAGCTTTTGTTTTTTCAAATTCCAAACGCTTTCATCTAAGTGCCACGTGCCCTTTCATGCTTTCTGGCCGACACGTGGCCTTTTAATGTTTCATTCAGACCGTAATATTAATATGTTCTCCAACTGCACCTCATCACACCAAAGCGAGGGTGTATCTCTCGCCCTCTTTTCCGTTACCCCTATGCTTCTTCACAAAAAGAAGCTGGACAGTGGAAAGATATGAAAGAATCATACTTTTTCGTTCCTGAAAATTAATTTTGCAAGGTGGCTGGGACATATCTATATCTATATATATATATATTGACTAAATATGTCGGTCTCTATTTTGATGTCTAATTTTCTACAATTAATTGGAAAAGTCTGGGGATATTTACGTGTTAAGTGCATAAACCGTATATTTGCCTGTCATCATTAGCAACGGAGATTTTCCAAGGATTAATGAAGTTGGAGATTTGTGTCTCCGATGTATTTGGCAGTAATTAGTGATGACTCTACATGGGTTTGAATATAAGCTAGTTTATTCTCATCTCTAAGGTTGACGTGTGGTATATATGTGTCCCTCTGAACAGCTCAGAACTAAGTAGCAAAGTGAAAGCAGATTTAAATGCTGAGGTTGAGATGTATCTCTCTCATTCATCCAGACCAAACGCCAACTTAAGCCCCTTCGCACCACTTTCCTGCTTCTAATTATGAAACCTGTTCGGCTGAAATAATTTTCATTGGCTTTAGCAGCATAGATAATATATAGCCTTCTCTCACTAGCCGTATGTTATAAGTCTCAATCATCAGAGACTATTCCTCCCTTTGATTCAACTGTGGTACGTCCTTCCCAAAACTGGCCATTACTGAACAAGTTTCCAATGATTATTAAGTACTGTGTTGGAGAATAAAACTAAGTGTGGTCCAAATAATTAACCACAGATCATGCGTAGTGACAAATTAGAGGTTCCCAGCTCCTCTCTTTGAGATTGAGAGTGATCTCGATGATAATGACGCACCAAGAGGGCTATCATTTTTGTGGATTCTTCCGACTTATATTCCCAAGTTCCCACTTTCAATGACAAAGATTTGCGCTTCATTTGTCAACCAGTGATAAGTGCCTCTAGTTCACAATACATGTATTAATATTACCATGCATGTCGCACGTGCACATTTCAGGGCACTTTTTTACTAGTTAAATAATAAAAACGTTAATTGAGCTAGTAAATCAAATCTAGTTGAATGAAAATATTAACGATACATTAATTGATATATACACAAATAAAAATTTGACAGTGTCAAATACCTTCGAGCATGTGTTTCTATATGTAGGGTTTATTTATGGTAATACCAAGATTCTTCATAAAATCTAATAAAATACATGTGACTCATTTTCAGAGTACCTTTTTTTTTTTTTGCCTTGATAGAAATACGATGGGAGAAGTAATTTTATTTTTCAACTTGATTGAGGATAATTCTAAAAAATATTTTTTAAAAAAATTGGATTCTTGACTGAATTATTTTTTGGTACATACTGAAAGAGCCATGTACTGATTTGAAGTAACTAAGGAAATAGATGCCTTGACAGGTCCTGAACGATGAGATGTTCGCTATTCTGGTTCTGATGGCTCTGTTCACCACCTTCATCACAACCCCGACGGTGATGGCCATCTACAGGCCCGCACGTGGCATCTCAGCGAGGACCCACCGTAAGCTGGGCGACTTATCTTCGAGCTCCAAGAAAAAGGCGGCCGGGGAGCTGCGAGTGCTAGCCTGCGTGCACGGTCCCGGCAACGTACCCTCCATCATCAGACTCATCGAGCTAACTCGCAGCACCAAAAAGTCTCCCCTCAAGTTGTTCATCATGCACCTCGTTGAGCTCACCGAACGCTCCTCCTCCATCGTCTTGGCCCGGCGCGCCCGCAAGAATGGCTTCCCTCTCTTCAACCGCTTCCGCGGTGGACAGTGGCATGACCGCCTCGCCGGAGCCTTTCAGGCCTATAGTCAATGCGGACGGGTTTCCGTCCGGCCCAGCACAGCCATCTCTTCCCTGTCCACCATGCACGAGGACATTTGCCACGTGGCGGAGCAGAAGAGAGTGACTATGATTATCTTGCCGTTTCACAAGCAGTGGAGGATGGAAATGGAGGAGGAAGAAATTGGGAGTGAGAGCCACGAGGCATGGGACAACGTGGGTCATGGATGGCGAGGTGTGAACCAGAGGGTGCTCAAGAATTCACCATGTTCTGTGGCAGTGCTTGTAGATCGAGGATATGGAAATGGGTCAGCAGGAACAACCCCGAACGTTACCCAACGAGTCTGTATTTTGTTCTTTGGTGGGCCCGATGATCGAGAGGCCATCGAATTGGGTGGCAGAATGGCTGAGCATACGGCGGTTAACGTCACCGTTGTGAGATTCGTGGATACAAATGGGTTGGCAGGTGACGGAGTCGTGTTACGCCCTTCCCCAAATAAGTGCAGCGAGAAAAACTACAGCTTCTCCACCGCGACGATGAACCGTGAGAAAGAGCAGGTAAGAAAATCGATTTCAAACACACTGGCACACACTTTTTTTCAGTTTGTTCGAAAAATTAATGACTGTGCGGAATTGCAGGGCCTAGATGAAACTACTCTAGAGGAGTTCAGAAGGAAGTGGAAGACGGCGGTTTATATAGAGAAGGCAGCGAGCAACATAGTGGAGGAGGTTTTCGGGATAGGACGTAGCGGGGATTACGATCTGATAGTTGCTGGGAAGGGGCGGTTTCCGTCGAGCATGGTAGCGAAATTGGCAGAGCGGCAGGCGGAGCACGCGGAGTTGGGTCCAATCGGAGACATTCTGGCGTCGTCAGGACAAGGCGTGGGGTCGTCGGTGCTGGTCATTCAGCAACACGCTGCGGAAGTGGGAGACGAGTCTCCCGTATCTAAAGTGCTAGTTCAGTACGACGAGTCGTCCATAGGGAAAGGCAATTCGACATCAAACGACAACAACGTTTAACGGAACCGAACTGGTACTACTTATGCGTTTAACGGTTGGTCTTCTGTAGCTCGCCAATTCTTGGTTTCTGAAACGGCAATGCTCAGTTTGATGGCAGGAAAATTTCCCATGAAGGGCCTATAAAGGCAAAAAGCCAAGGATCAGCAAGTCAGCGTAGCGTCACTTCAACTTTCTTAAGTACCTCGTCACATGCATATCAAGGAATAATGCATCGTCTTCAAGAATAAAGGCAAAGACGTCGAGCTTGGGTTCGTATGAGATTTAGTTACTTCCTCAGTCTGTGGAAAATCAGAAAATGTGTAAATTGGCGTCAACTAATCCGCAATAAAAGTTCTGTAGTCAAATTATGTCCAGTAAGAAATGTATTTCTATTGGCAGTTGTTTGTTCCCTTCCCAGATCATATTACCCTCTCCGGCCCTTTTCTTTATTTTTTATTTTTTCAAATAATAGCAATGCACATTGGCTTGGACCAACAACCCAAAAAACAAAAAAACCAACACATTGAGTATTCTTAATTACTACTTCTGGTCCTAATTATAAGAATTAGTTGACTAATTTGAAAAGATTAAAGAAGTAAGTTAAGTTAATTATTTGTAATGAATGAGTGTTAATTTTCCTAAAATATCCTTACTAATCAAGTATATTAGCTATAATTATCATTATTAGAAGGACTTCTTTGAAAAAAAAATATAAATATGAAAAATAAAGTAGATTGGGGTTTTATATTTAGGACCAAAATAAAAATCAATTGAGGTCTTATATTAAAAAACGGAGATAGTATAATTTTTCCGCGCGTCTCGACTTAGACGAGTTAATCATTAACTTATGGAATAGAAAGTACAATTAATATGTTAATCATCAAATAAGAGAACACGAGCGCGCAAAAATTAAAAAATACAAGTTATTACTTGTTAGCTTTTTAAGAGATTTATTGTATATATAGAATAAAAGGGTATAACTGTCCCCAAAAAATAAAAATAAAAAAGGACAAAAGGGTATTATAACCTAATATTTCTATATTCATATTTTCCCACCAAATCAAGTTTTAAACAACAAAATTTGCATATTACTACCTCCGGCCCTAATTATAAAATATCATTCGTACTATAAATTATGTTTCATAATTTAGACCGAAAGTAGTATAAGTTTATCTTTCTATGTTTATGTTCTTGTTTTTAAAAATAATTATACATTTAAAGGTAATTTTCATAATATATCACCCAAATAATTTTTAATTTACCGGACTGGGCTTTCGAAAAAATACATCCCAAAATGTATCCGGTTACGGTAACTTATTTTTACCAAACTGACGGAAAAACAGTTGTTCGCTCATCCCTGTCGGGGACAGCCAAATTTTCAAAATTAAAGAATGCTAAAATCAGGGCCATAAGCCAGCCGCCGAACATTACTGTAAGGAGCGAAAAGAAACAGATGTCCATTGATTCCTATAAAAAAGTTAGGGATAATAAATTTGACAGTCCTTCTAGTTTTAATAAAATTTGAATCAGGTCCTTGTAAATTTTTTTCATTTTATGAGGTCCTTTTTGTACGCTCAGTTTGGATAGGAGTCCTTTTGTCATTAACTCCGTTAATTTGTGTTAGGCGGCATCTTCTTCTCCAGCTTTTATCCTCTCTCTCTCCCCACTCCTTCACCCAGTCTCCTATCTCTCATTCTTTGGTCTCCATCATCATCTTTTTACTTGCCCCATTTTCCCAACCACACCCCCAGTTTACGGCCTTCTTCCTCTCTCTCCTTCCATTCTCACTCTCTCTCTCTTCTCTCTCTCTCTCTCTCTACTACTTTCATGGCGGTGAAGAAGAATAGGAGGGTACAAGGGACTGACGTGTTTCAAATAATCACCATGCTGCTTTGACATGAATCCATTCCTTCAAACTTCCTTTTTTATTATTAATTAAACATGTTTTTAATGATGCAATTACAAAGTGACAGCGTAATTAGTTTTAAGGGTTTATAAAAGGAGACAATGTAAAAGGAGATGGGGAGCAACACTATCGTCATTATCATACAGTCCCTTATACCCTCATCCTATTCTTCTTCATCACCATGAAAGCAGAAGAGAGAGAAAGGAAGGAGAGAGAGTGAGAATGGAAGGGGAGGGGAAGCGAGGAAGAAGGCTGAAAGGGGAGGGTGAGGCTGGAAATGGCTTTTATTTTTGTTGGCGAAGGGGCCATTGAGAAAGAAAATGCCACGTTAGCATAAATCAACAGAGTCAGTGACGGAAGGACTCCTATCCAAGCTGATTATACAAAAAGGATTCCATAAAAAGAAAAAAATTTGCAAAGACCTGATTCAAAATTTAATAAAATTATAAGGACTGCCAGATATATTATCCCAAAAAGTTATACCTCATCAAAATATATAATATAAAGGAGTTCTGCTGTTTTTGCATTAACCCCAGTTTGAGTTGACTCAAAATAATAACAAGTTTCGGGGAAATGACAATAAAAGCCATGTGTTCAATATGGGGCAAATGAAAAATTAACAGGCAAATTTGGTTGCAACAAATACAAAACAATTTGGAAGTTTTCATATCAAAATATTGTTTTCTTCACAATTCCAGGAAGTGGCGTTCTTCAAATTTAAGCGACAAGCCCTTCCTTTGGACCCTTGTACGACAACTTATCCTCGACAGTCTGGTTACATCCATCATGTTTAGAGGCATCCCTGTTGGCCTGCATGTGATCGCCTCGAAAGCTACCATAATTTTGTCATTTATGCTGAATTATAGTAATGTGAAGAAAGGATCAGACTCGGGTCAGGCAAGGGTTTCAATAGTGAATATCTATTTCAAATGATATGCATGAAATGAGAGCTAGAATAAAGTAAACAATGAACGACAAAATTAATTACGCATAAGAAAGCAAAATATGATTCTTCCTAGTCCCAAGATTCTGCATTTAATCATCTAGCCAATGTCCTCCCCAATAACAAAAGCATGTCGACACAAATGTAACATATATTAACATTTCAAGCCGTTCGATGGCCAAGCAGGTTGAAAGATACTTGCAGATTCCATTAGAAATACGCTTAATTTTCATTCTGTTCTCCTTTTGTTTGTTCTCCCTCCATTTCCACTTAAAATAATTAAAAAAGAAAACATATTGTTCAAATGTCATAATATACAAACCTTACATAAAGCCTCCCCCTGTCCACCTGTCACCTGGCTTCCCATTCTGACCAACTGCATTCTTATTTGATACACTCTGGTACGAATTATCATATTCATCATCTTTAGGATCATCCCAGCCAGCCCAACCATCATTGTTATGAGTAGCTGATGCTTTAGCTGGTTCTTTTCCTAGTATCATCATTGCCCCAGTCATCCCATGAGCTTGAGTGATAAGTATTATTCTGCCCAGCTGATGAAGGTTGCCCTCCTCCACTAGAAGAATTCCAACCTTTATTCTCTTGATTATATTCTTGATAATAGCCATTTCTACCATTTTCATTTCGCTGCCAGTTATCAGATGTCCAGTTTGGGTTATCTCTGGCGTACTCCTCAACTTTCTGCGAAGCCAAAGCCATGACCCCCTTCATTATCCCCCACGTCCTTTGTCCTATCTCTGATGTCTTCTGAGAGACAACATTGACAGTTTCGTTGACTCTGTAATCATAGCCACCATCCTTTACCTGGCATACAGAATAAATATAGAAAATGAATAAATGAATATGAGCCACCATCTATTCCTCTTTTCAATGAAAAGAAAACATTATGACTCTATAATGTAATTCATGAAGCAATATCTCAAAAATAACTGGTGTAAGCAAAACTGAACTGAGACTGATAATTGAACCCACTAGACTGACCGCTTGTTCTTTTTTCTTATATAAAATAAGATCTAGATAGACAGGACCAACTCAATTAAATATATTTTTATATATATTTTTTATGATGTAGAGCATTTAGTGTGGTTCAAGGATAAACCTAATTGTCATACGCCAGCCTCCACGTTCCCTTTCAGTCTTTCTTCAGTGCGTTCATTGTTTGGCCATTTCTCTCGTCTCTTCCAATCTCACGCAGCCTACAGTCCTTCACAAATATCTAAACTCAGACACCCGCTCCTTAATCCCCTACCTCACAACACCATCTCTCCCTAATTTCTCACTCTCCCTCCCTGTTCAGTCATAACCCTGTTTCCCTGTTGATGGTGCTCTCTCATCTCCCTCCCTAATGCTTCAGATCTCTCACACTCCCTACTCTTGGAGTCTTGCACTCCTTCTCTCCCTTGTCTACCAAACTCCCACATGCTGCATCAGTGCTGTGGTTCAAACATCGCCCGCAGCATTCTCTTGTCAGGTACAAAAGGAAAGATTAAGGGATGTGATCAAGTTCTTATTGTGCATGCTTCTATACAAAAAGAGCCAATGCCTCTATACAGAATGATGAAAATGCTTTTGACCAAACCACTAATTGCTTACCCCATAATCAGTTTACATTTTCTCATTGCCAGCTCTCATCCTCAAGAATGCATAAAGAGACAACAATGGTACATGGATCATCAGCAGTAAATAGTACCAATTCGTCAAAAAATAAAGTTCTTTGAAGATCAATAGCATGAAAGGCCACTCCTCATTGTAAGCTTAACTTTCAAACCCGCGTCCAATTAATTTCTCAGAAAATCCACTTCAAAATTAATATATTATGAAGTAGAATATTATTAGAAGCATGTTGGAGTCCTTATCAGCGCCAATCATGACTTTCAAATGCTTAAGCTGAAGCAAAAATTTATAAACAATTTATTTAAAAAAAAAAAAAAAACTCAAGAAAGATGCACCAAATATATTTTCTTTCTTTTCCCCCCAACAGACTTGCATCAACTTCCTAAACATGAGAATATGATTTATCACCTAAGAAACACGAAGATAAAATCAACTAACAACTATATGACGTACAACTTGCAATAATATAAATCTGAGTAAAATAAATGGAATCTTTCAAAATTACCCATATGGAAATCTCAGCATTACTTCCCCATTTTCGTCATTCAACACCTTTTCTTTTTCATGTATCCTCTCCACTGTGCACCACTATTGGTCTAATCATTATTATTTATTCTCAAAACCAACACAGAAATCAAGAAGATATGGAATAAGAGGGCAATAATTGATCTTCACATTCCTCACTCACAGAATTTACGGTTCGTACTTAACAAAAATCAAGAATTGATGCTGTTGGTAAGTAGAAAAGTATAAAACATTCATCTGTTATTCGTTTCCTTATTTCTAGTATTTAATTGTCTAAGAAAGATGGAGTAAAGTCGTGTCTTCTGAATGAAAAAAAAACCGGACCGGACCGGCCGGTTCAACCGGAAAACCGGTGAACCGGTCTCTGATCCAGTCTGGTTGAGAAAAAAACCGGA